TTTTCAGGCTACCGATCGTTCCAGATCGTACTCCCGCTGTAGCAGCGCTGGCCTCATTTCCGCGCTTCCGCTCGTTCCGAATCGTGCTCCCGATGCAGCGCTAGCTTCGTTATTTCCAGCGCCATGCCACGGTTTTTGTTTCGGTTCCTCCAAATGCCCCTGAAAATAAGAAAATGCCTCCCCGAACAAAGCATCGGAAGTGATTACACATTCGGTGCCGAGTCGTTCATTTTTGGGCCGCAGAAGCCCCCCACTTTGGGGCGTTGCCACGCCATGCTATGTCAGGCTACGCGTCTTCATCTTCGCGCTTGGGTGTTTGTTCAAAATGCTGCTCTCGCTGAAGTGCTGGCATCTTTTTCGGGCTACCGCTCGTTCCGAGTCGTGCTCCCGCTGCAGCGCTGGCCTTATTTCCGCGCTACCGCTCGTTCCGAATCGTGCTCACGCTGCAGCGCTGGCGTCATTAGTCCCAGTGCCATGCCACGGCATGGTGTTCGGGCCTTCCAAAGAGACCCCAAAATTGAAAAATGGCCTCCCGAAGAAACCATCGGAAGTGATTACACATTCGGTGTCGCTTCATTGATTTTCTGGGCTGCAGAAAATGCTACGTCATGCTACGTCTTAATCTTCAACACCATGCTATGCCATGTAATGCTATGCCATGCTACGACATCCGATTTTGCGAATTGAGAGGAGATCTACGCCAGGGAGGGAGGGAGGGGGAGGACGTCAGACATGGCACGCGCGCACCTAGCTTCTCCTCCTCCTCCCCTTCCTATCCTCCTCCTATCCTCCTCCTATCACTCCTCACTCCTCCTCACTCCTCCTCACTCCTCCTCCTCCTCCTCCTCCTCCTCCTATCCTCCTCCTATCCTCCTATCCTCCTATCCTCACTCCTCCTCACTCCTCACTCCTCTGCTCCTCCTCCTCCTCCTCCTCCTCCTCCTCCTCCTCCTCCTCCTCCTCCTCCCCATATTTTCCCGGGGCCCGAGAGCGGCGCCCCCCCCACTCGCCACGACCTCGTGCGAGGAGAACCTCCCCATCCTCCCTTCTCCCCTAATGGTACAAACAACAGAACAAACGGTCCCTTGGTGTTCCCGCGTCCCGGTCACGCCGCTCCGACCGTGCTGGGCCCCGGCCGAAGGCTTCTGAGAAGCTCCGCGGCCTTCTGAGGAGGCATGCCCCCTCGTCACTTCTCGGGGAACCGCAAGGTACCGATACCGCTGCTCCCCGGACCTCTCCTGGGGTGCGTTCTGACCAGAATTTCGAAGCGAATCCGGCGGTGGCGACGAAGGGCATCGGTATGCCTTGGGCCCTTTCCTCCTCCGAACTTGGGCCCCCGGGGGCGCGGGTGGGGCGGCGCCTCGTCGCGGAGGCAGGAGCGCCCTCGAACCTCTGCCCAGGAAGGGGGCCCCCGGGCGGCTCTGGGGGCGGGCGTTGGGCCCCCGACCCTGGAGAGAGGCCAAGGACATCAGAACCCCTCCAGGAGCCTCCTGCTCCTGCTCCTGCTCCCGCTCCTGGTCCTCAATCCTCCTCCTCCTCCTCCTCCTCCTCCTCCTCCTCCTCCTCCTCCTCATATCCTCCTTCTCCTCCTCCTCCGGGGGCCAGGACACAGGGCGGCACAGAAGAGCTCTGGACGGCCGCTCGTTTCGCCATTGGGGATGTCTGGGACCAGCTTCGGGCCCCAGGGCTCTCGAAAACAGCCCAGGGAGGAGCGGCTTGCCCCGGGAAGGTGTTATTTTTGTTCAGGCTCGCGCCCCTTCAACAAGCCCTAATCTGGCCCCTCATGCAGAATAGATCAAGAATGGAACCCGCGGCACTGAAAGGATCCTTCTCCTCCAGCGGCAAAGGCGACAAGAGGTCCTGAGGGCCGCCAGGGCTCCAAACATCGGCCCGTCAGGTCCTGGCAGGAGGAGCCCTTGTCCTCGCCCCCTCTCCCTTGCCACCAGCCTCACCTTGCGGACACGGCCCGCGACACGCAGGTCGGCATGATCTCAACGTTCCACGCCGCCCCACGGCGCGCGAGCGAACCGAGAGGCGCTCGGCGTCACAAGCATCGTGCCGCTGCCTGTTGCGCTCGTATCCTGTACTGATAGTCATTACGCTGTGCAAAGAGAAGGGAAATAACGATTTCTCGATCAGCGGCGCCATGGATCCGCTCCACGACGGCCCCAAATGGGGATCCTGAGGGAAACCACGAACCGGCAATTCGAGTTGTTTCCGCCCCGAGAGGGGCCCAGGAGGCCCCAAGAGCGCCCCACGAGGCCCCAACAGGCCCCCAGGTGAATTCCCAAAAGCCTCCAAGAGGCCCCAAGAGGCCACGAACGCGCAGGCACAAGCCTGCGATGGCACAATATGGGCCGGCGGAATGAGCGAAGCGATCCGCCGCCCCACCGGGTACGGCATGTGAGATCCCCGCCGCATGGTCTGCAAGAATTCTTTCCCCTCAGTTCCCTTTCCCACGCACTCCTCGTACCAAACAAATCCTTTCCTCAGAGCCCTGGCAACCCCTCCTGGGGTCCTCCCCGCGGGCTGCTCATTCCTCCGGCCCAGGGGCCCGGGCTGCGCACAAGGCGTCCGCTGGCGGCAATTTTGCCTTAAACTCAGGCAGATCTTTGCATGGTAGACTTCCAGACCCCTGCGGCCGCCGTGTGTATGGGACATCTCTGGTGGCCCTCCTGGGCAGTCTTCGGACCTTCTTGGACCCCTCTTGGGTTCACTTGGCTCCTTCTTCGTTTTCCCTCCAGAGCCGTCTCGGACGCCTCCGAAGCCCTCTTCGAGGCATGTTCAGCCGAAAAACTGAGGAAGCCAAAAACCTTCACAAACCCTGCGCCGTTTCGGCGTTTCGGCCTCCTCTTTGCACCTCTTGGAGATCTCTTGCAACATCTTGCGCCACTCTTGGGGCCTTTCTGGCCACGTTGGAATATCTCCAAGGTCTCTCGGGCCGTCCTGAAGGCCTCCCGGAGCCATCTTGGGCCGTCTCGCCGCCCTTGCGGCGACTACCTGGGCCGTCCTGGGCGCGCCCAGGGTGTCCCCAGAGGCGCTGATGAGGCCCCAAACTGCAGTGGGACTGCTCCTTTCTGCGTCTCCATATCCCTCTTCGGTTGCGTCCGCTGGTTTCGACACCTTCGGATGCCCTGTTGGGCCGTTTTCGGAGCCTCTTGGGGCCCTCTGGGGGGGCCTTTATTGGGACATGCTCCATGTCTTTTTGGACCCTCTCGGGCCGTCTTGGACCCCTCACACCAAGTCCGCGTTCCAAAAATTGCGGGGCGGCGGTGTCTGCCCCCTCAGGGGCCTTCAAGTAACAACGATTTCTTGATGAGCGGCACCTCGGACCCGAGTTGCGATCGTGGCCACGCCAGGGCTGCTGCGGTGCGAAGGAGGCAAGGGCGGCGGCGAGGAAGGCCGGGAAGAAAGGGAGGAAGGGGAGGGCCGCGCACGGCCGGAGCGCCCTTCGGAGCGTGAAGCAATTTGGCCCCGTGCGTTTGCCGAGGCATTCAAAACAGCTGGGGGGACAAGATTTGGGCGTCGCTTGATGGAGGGCGGCGAATCGATGAATGGGGCGAAGGAACCAAACGTGCACTCTTCGGGCCCTGCAGGCTCCGCTCTGGGCCTCCAACAGCCCCGTTTGTGGGCCCCAACGGGCCTCTTCTCCGCAGCGCTCGCTCCCCCCGCATGCTTCGCCCCCCCCCCCCCCCGCCCCCACTGCGCTGGTGCGACGTCCAAGGGACAAGCAGTGGAATCCTCGCCGAGCCGCGCGTCTCTCCCTCACGCCTCTGGGAGCGGCGCGAGGGGAGACGCACCCAAGACGTCCCCCAGAGGAGGAGACTGCACGAGCTCTCAGAGCGTCCCCGCGGGGAGGGGAAGGGAAAGGCCCTGAGGCGCTCACTCGGATCGGCTCCAGGGCTCGAGTAGGAGGTCGACTGCAGAAATGATTTACCCCCCCAAAACTGTTCTTTGCGGTCGAACCTCCGAACACAGACCTAGAGTGTTCGTAGATGTACAGAAACATTGTATGCACTCGTTGCAGATTCGGCGCAACATTTTGCATTTTGAGGTACATCAATTCTGCAGTCGATCTCCCACTCGAAGGGTGCTCCATCGGCGGGGCTGGGGAGGAGCAGGAGGAGTCGAGGCCCGGGGAGCGGAGACGTAGGGGAGATGAGCAGGAGGAGAGGGACAGGTCATCGATCGTCGTTGGTCGTCATCGTCCTCGTCGGTCGTCGGTCGTCGGTGGTCGGTCGTCATTCGTCCGTCGTCGGTCCTCGGTCCTCCGTCGTCCGTCGGTCGTCGGACGTTGGGTCGTCGGTCGTCCGTTGACGTCCGTCTTCTTCTTCTTCGTCGCCGTCGTCGGCGCCGTGGTCGTCGTCCATCGTCGTCACGAGGGCGGCCAGCGGGGGCCTCTGCTGCTGCCCAGAGCGCCAGGCGGCGGCGTCCCGGTCACGCGCCTGCCCTCCGCAGCCGCCCAGGCTGGGAGGGGGGAGGAGCGCTCCGCGGCTCCAGCAGCCCCGAAGAGCAGAGGTCCCCCAATCGAGCGACGGAACGAAGCGGGCCTTACGCGAGATGGCATACCGACTTTGTGCGGTGGCTTGCGCGGGCCGCGAGCGCGGCACGCCAGAATGGAAACGAGGGTGCTTACGCGCGACCTTACGCGGGCAGCTTATGCGCCAATGTCGGTGCAGACGACCCCGCTGGTCCACGTCGCTCAAATGGACTCCGAGCACATGGGGTCGGAGGATCGCGCCGCGTCGCCGATGCATCGGCGATGCGGCGACGATGCACCGGCGGCGTCGGCAATACATCCGCGACGTCGGCGTGGATGAAATGGGACTCCACATCAAGCAGCATCGCCGATGCATCGGCGATGCTTCGGCGATGCGGCGCGATCCTCCGACCCCATCTGCCTGGACCCCGTCTGGGGGGCCTATGCCTGGACCCCGTCTGGGAGGCCTAGAGCTGGGGGGCGGGGGAGAGGAGCGCCCCAGGGCTCCAGCGGCCCCCAAGAGTCGGCAGAAGCCGCCGATGTTATCATTGGAGGAGGACCCAGTCGAGACAATGGCGGCCCTGCCTGGCGCTCTTCGTCCATCTTGGGCTTCCTGGAAGCTTTCCGTCGCTACGGCTGGATCCGCCTCGCAAACGGGTCAAGGTGGAACCGGAAGGGGTCCGGGACTTAGTTTGAGCGGGTAGGGAGGCTCCAGCGGCCCCCGAGAGGCAAGAGTCTTAGGTCTCATGAGAATAGGCGAGAAAAGCGGCATGAGCACAGACCTTCGTGCGTCCGCCCAGATCTCTTGGATCGGGCCTGAGCCCCCTCCCTTGCGCGCGGAGCGCGCCGGGAGGCAGCGAGGGGGGCCCCGCTGGGGGGGCCCCAGCGCCGATCCGAGAAATCTGCGCAGAGTTCGGAGCTTCATGTTTACACGGTTTGTTCTCCGAACGGAGGCTTTCCTCCTCCTCCTTCTCCTCCTCGTCCTCCTCCTCGGCTCTTCTTCCTCCTCCTCCTCCTCCTCCTCCTCCTCATCCACCTCCTTCTCATATTGATTGCAGGATGGAGGAGGATGGAGGAGTACGATGGAGGAGGAGGAGTGAGGAGGATGGAGGAGGATGGAGGAGGATGGATTTTAGCGTCCTCGCCCTTTCGGGCCTCCAGCGCTCCAAAACGGCCAAGGAGGCCCCCGAGATCGTTTCAACGAGGGGGCCCCAAGAGCATGGGCGCGCACCCCGCGACGGCACGACCACAATGACGACGACGACGACGACGACGACGACGACGACGACGACGACGATAGGACGACGGGAGGAGGAGGAGGAGGAGGAGGAGGAGGAGGAGGAGGAGGAGAAAGAGCAGACCTTCTTGCCTTCAGGACTGACGACGAAGACGACGAAGACGACAAATCCGCCGACCCTGTCGGCGTGTGCGAGGGGCTTCCTCGTCCGTTCCTCGCCGCCCCCCCTTCTTCCTTCCCGCTTTTTTCTTTTTGGGCCGTACCCTCCTGCCGTCATGCCGTTTGTCGATTCGAAGGGAAGCCCCTTCCCTTTGATCCCTTCCCCAGGGGGGGGGGGTCCCAGGGGGGGTGAGATTCGTTTTTTCCTCGGGCAGCCTCGAAACCTTGAAAACACTCCAAATGAAGTCCGAATGCCCAAGATGGCCCCCGAGACGGCCCAAGAGTGCCCCGAGTCGCCCAAAGATCGGCCGAAGACGCCCAAGATAGCCCCAAGACCGTCCAAGAAGACTCCAAGACGTCCCAGGCCCCCTCCAAGAGCACCCCCAAGAAGGGCCCAAGAGGTCACACTCATTACTTTTCCATCGGGAACTTACATTTCTAGCATATACGACGTTTCGGCCTTCACGGCGTCACAGACAGCTTCGTCTTCAGGGTCGGCGGCACCGGCCGTAAAGCCTTCGCAATAAGACGACAAAGCATACGAAGACGGCGGCAACGACAAAGACCACGACGACAAGACACCGCCGACGGCGGCCGCGACGCCGAGAAACGCCGACGCCGACGACGACGGCGACCGCGACCGCGACGACGTCGACGACCACGACGGCGTCGGCAACGACTCCTCGACGCCATGGGCCCCGCGCGGGGTGCACTGCTCGAAACCCCCAGCGGCGGCCTGCTGCTGCCACGGCTTCTTGGGGGGCTCCCGCGGCAGAGGGCTGCGCTCCCTGTTCTGCTCGCGCGCGTCGCCGGCTCCTGCTCGATCCCCCTCTTCCTCCTCCAATCTCCTCCTCCTCCTCCTCCTCCTCCTCCTCCTCCTCCTCCCCCTCCTCCCCCTCTTCCTCCTCCCCCTCCTCCCCCTCCTCCTCCTCCCCCTCCTCCTCTTCCTTCTGCTTCTCCTCCTCCTCCTCCTGCGCTCTCCTCCAGCCCCTGATGCTTCGTCCTCTACTTCGTGCTGCAGGTCCTCCTCGTCCCCCCACCGCCTCCCCTCCCCCGTCAGCATGCTCCGCCCACTCCCGTTTCCTGTTGCTGCTGCTGCTGCTGCTCACTCTCCTCCTTTTCCTCCACCTGCTCCTCCTCCCCCTCCTCCTCCAGCCCCACCCCCAAACGCGTCGGGAGGGCGCGAGCCAGGCGGTTCGCCTGAGACATCCTCCCCCAAAATGATCCTGAAACTTAACATGTGCGACAGCTTCGCGGATGGAGGGCGGGTCGTTTTCAAAAGAGTGGCTCTCGCGTTAGTGCCGCGTACATTCGTTAAAACAATTCAACAGCTTCAAAGCTGGAGGGCGGGCCGTGTGGAAAACGAGGCTCTTGCCTGAGCGTCGCGCGCATTCGCCATTCAACTGTGCAGTAGTTTCACGGATGGAGGGCGGCCCTTTTTCAAAGTGTGGCTATCGCCTTATCGCTGCGCGCATTCATGTCGAAAGTCTGTATCAGCTTCAAGAGTTCGCATGGTCGAAGACCCATGAATGATGTCCTGGCAAAATTACCATCGTCTGAACGAAACAAACACGTTGATTCGCGGCGTTGGAGTCCCGTGAACGGTGCCCTGGCACAACCAGAATGTCAGGACGCAACAGTCACGTGAATGCTAGTTCCAAGAATAGCGTCTTGGCACGGTTGAGGAATCTCAGACGGACGTCTTTCAATGGTGCAACTTCCCACAATGAAAAAGGGCTTATACGGCCCTGTGAACGGGAAACTCGGAGGGAGGGTTTATTGCAACATCGTTGATGCGTCTTGGGTTGAATTGCACCAATCCACCTCCTCCTCCTCCTCCTCCTCCGCCTCCTCCCTCAATCAACCCTCCTCCAACCCCACTCCTTCAAAATAACACCTCCCGTGTCCAAAGGCAAGGCCAGATGACTCAACCTTGCAGCAGCGCAGCCCTTACAATGATGGGGGGCAGACCACTTTCAAAACGGGGCCATCGCTGGACTCTCCCTTGAGCTGTATCATCAAATAGTGTACTTGTAGCTAGAGGGATGGACCCTGTATCCTTTACAAACAGAAGTCTCGCCTGGGTGGCAGTCCCACCAAGCGTTCGTAATTCGAAAGGGGGCGCTTCCCGCAGCGGGAAGGAATACGCGCAGGGACTTACGAAATGGATTGCGATGAGGGGTCTTGGTCGTTGATGCATCAGGGGTTTACGGCATTCCGTCTCCTCATCCTTCCTCCTCCGATCGGCCACCCTTCCCCTTCCTCCTTCTCCTCCTGCTCCTCCCCCTGCTCCTCCTCGTGTCCCTGTCCTCCTCACATTCTTCCTCCGCCTCCATCGATTCATCCCTGTCTCTTACCTCCCCCATTCCTCCTCCCTCCCTGCCTCCCCACATCCCTCCCCCTCCTCTGGCAATTCTGCCGTTGCCCTCCCTCCCTCCTCTTCCTTTTCCTCCCTTCCTCCCTCTCTCCACCTCCTGCTTCCTCCTTTCCTCTCCCTCCCTTCCCCCGTCCATTTCCCTCCTTCTCCCTCCCTTCTCTTCCTCCCTCCCTCCCTCCGCCTGGGAACTGGAGTTCGGCGGTGGCGCACGGTTCGGCTTCTGTTCCTGTTTTTTTTACAGGTGGCGAAGAAGTGCATCGTGCTGAGCAAGCTGGCAACCAGAGCAAGGAGCGCACCAGTGGCGCGTTTACCTCATATTGCAGTGTGGTGTTTACAAAGTGCGCCTGGCACATGTGTTGTCTTCACTGCTGCTGGAGATACCCGCATTTGTTGTCGTTGTGCAAGCTTGTTTTGTCGGATTTGGGGCTTGGTGATTTCCTCCACATCCAACTCGTCAACCGTCCCATGACGGGGGAGGAGGCGGAACCACAAGGGGTAAGCTGTGGTTCTGACCGACCCCACCCTGGGCGTTCCTCATTGTATCCTCTTGGTGGGTTCTTGGGTTTCGCATCTGGGGGACATGATTCAGCTGTTGCCCGGCTCCGCTGGCGTGTTCAGGCGGTCTGCGAGGTGGGCTGGGCACCTGTGGCTTCCATGCGAGTGGTGGCGCTCATCTGGACTCCCCGCCGTCCTCGTGGACGGCAAGGCATGCAGAGCCCGCTGCCGCGGCGGTGGTATCAGGTGGCCTCCAGTTTCGTTGTGTAACGGTCGTTGGTGTATTGGCTGCTGGAAAGATAGCGAATGGATTCACTGCCTCACGCATCGGCCTGGCATTTATTTACCATAATCGTCGCCGGGGTGGTGCTACTGGTGGACTTCGCCCTGCCCTACTTCAAGGACAGGGTGGCATCTTCGTCGCGGTCGGGCACATCTTGCTCGCGGTCCCCGTGTCGGTCAGGGGAATGAGTGTAGCGTTCTGCTCAATCGACTGCGTCGTATAGCCTGTTCCTGTTCCTGCTTCTCCTGATTCCTTCTCCTCATTGGACTGCGCGAGAGAGAAAGAGAGCGAGAGAGAGGCAGCGAGAGAAACATACACGCAAACAGAAAGGCGAATATATCCGCCGGCCCCCTTGCGGGGCCACCAGGCTGCGATGGTGAGGATTGCAGCTCCCTGTTCCAGTTGCAGTTTCCAGTTTCCACTGTTACTGTTATGTTTTTTGTTAATTATTGCTGTCCGCGCGAGGGGTGTTAGCCCCAACCATGCCGTATTTTTGTTTGTTGACCACGCCCTAAGCGGGTTCTCAGAATTCGTGGGGGTGCGCGTGACACGTGCAGGTGCAGTGGCGCTTCGCGCCATGCACCATAGTCCTTGAAGTTTGGTGTGCAGGCGGACTAGCAGGAAGGTCAAGCCGACAATTTAGCGATAACTCTGGGTTGCCTTTTTCTGGCATCGCCGCTATGATAATGTTATTCGTTATCCTTCCTCCATGCCTCTCATTCATAATTTTTCGCCTTGCCCTGCGCATTCTCCCCATCCTCCTCAGCTCTTTTTGCGGAGGCTCCTCCTTGGAGAGCCTATGGGGGCCTCACAAAAGTTGTTTCAGGCTTTCTTAAGGCATTCTGGAGCTCTCCTGGGCGTGTTCTGGGGGCCTCTGGGGGCTTCTTCGGGCCACCCTGCCTCCAACCGCGGTCTCCCTGAATGACCGGGTCACAATTTGGAATGCTTCGGAGGGTGTCTTGGGGCCATCTTGGACCGCCATGGGGCTCTCTGAGGGCCATCTTGGACCCCTGTTGTGCCGTTTTGGGGCTCTCTTGGACTGCCTGGAAGCCCTTTCGGATGGTCCTGGGGCGATTTGGGAGCCTCCCAAGCGGCTTCGGACGACCAGAAGACCGCCGTCTTGGAGCGTCGGGAAGCCGAAAAGAGGAGAATCCCAAAATAAACCAAAAACCAAAAGGAAAACAATGATTTTGGCCTCTTGGGGCCTTCTTGGGAGTGCTCTTGGAGGCTTCTTGGGACGTTTCGGGACTATCTTTGGGGGTATGACGGCTTCTTGGGGGTCGTCGTGCACCGTATTGGGGCTCTCTGGGGTCGTTTCAGGAGCGCGCCACGCCCTGCGAGGCCCGAGGGGCCGCTTCGAGGCCCGCCTGGAAAGTCCCATAAATCCCAGATCCTGGGAGTCAGTTATTTTGGGGGGAAGGGGGTCGGGTTTTCCCCCCGCCCAGGCTTGTAAAATATTGGAAGAGGAACGAACCTATATATATATATATATATATATATTATATATATATACATATATACACACACACAAACACACACACACACACACACACACACACACACACACACACACACACACACACACACACACACACACACACACACACACAATATATATATATATATATATATATATTATATATATGTTCACATGCCCGATGCCATATTCCTACGTAAATTACACCATATTCACGTCCCTGAGGCCATAGACCCTCGTAGTATGCTCGATAGTCGCGTCGCCGAAGCCATAATTCTTCGTAAATTACACAACATATGCGCCTCTGAGGCCACAGACCTTCGTAAACTAAGCGATAGTCGCGCCCCCGTCGCGCCCCCAAAGCAATACACCGTCTCAAATTATGCAAAATCTGTTCCCCCGAAGCCATACACCCTCCAACATTATTCAATATTCGCGCCCCCAGGGCCATAAACCTTCTAAATTACACCATGCCTCATCCCCGTGGCCACAACGCGTTCGCAAAGCACGGAATAATCGCGTCCCCGAGGCCATACGCCCATGCAAATTACGCAATGGTTGCGCCCCCGATGCCATAAACCTTAACAAATTACACAATAGTTGCGTCCACGAGGCCACAACCCCTTGTAAATTACTCAATACTCGCGTCCCCGAGCCATCAAACATCGCAAGTTACCGGATAGTCCTGCCACCGAAGCCAAACAAACCCTTGCAAATTAATGTTGGCCCTCGCGCGCAGTCCCAGCACTGCTTCACGTCAGCGTCTCAGACACCCCAACAAAGCTCTGGCAAGTCCCGTTCTAAGAAAAAAGGGGGCCGACGGCATGGGCGCGAAGCCCTTACGGATAAAAGGGAAGAACCAGGGAAGCAACCCCTGATGTGTATATATATATACACATGTAAGTACCTATACATACGTACATACGTACATATTGTTTACATCGATATAAGTGCGCGTTTGAATATTCGTGTTAGCCATCGTGGACCCCGAACAGCGTGATTTTAGCAGTATGTGTTGAGCCTCCTTGGTGGAGCAGTAAACGTGGTGCTGTTTGTGGTGGAACTGATTGTTACAAACGAACTGATGCATGCCACGCTCTTGCAAACATCACACTCGCACACGCACCCTGGTTTGCAAAACCCATGCGGCGGCGACTGCGATGAGTGCTTGGCGTTGGCTGGTGCTTCCCTGCGGCCGCATCAACCCAAACACGCGCGCGCAACGGCCAGCTAGATTGGCGCGACCGACGCGGCCACGGTGGGCTTGGCCGCTGGGCACATCCCCGCGGGCACGTCAGTGCGAGTCGGCGATATGGGCGGGCGCGGTGTCATGGCAACGTCGACAACGGTAGACACGATGATGCTAGTAGCGATGCTGGTGAAAGTGCTCGGCCAGTGAAAGCGCCGATGCTGACCACGCCGACGACGATGACGGCGTCCCCGCGCTGGTGACGGTTTTGGAAAGACTTCGACATGCGCGCGCGGACGACGCGCGACAGTGGCCCGCATGGTATTATTTGACACGGATCGTGCCCCCACCACCAACACCCCAGCACGCGCGCAAGGGCATGCGAATGATTTCGGCGTGCGGCGCGAGAGGCCCGTTTGGCAGAATCCGATCGAAGTGTTTAACGCCCATGGTTTTCTTAAGAATTCGCAAGATCTCGAATACAGGTTGTTTGAAAACTGTTGTTGCGAAACCATGTATTTCTATATGTTTGTTGGAAAGTTGGTTTGGACATCGCTGCGAAATCGAAAGTGGCTGACCGATGTCAGCATGCGCGCGCGACGGCGCGCTTCGCCCCCACTATTTGCGAAAGGGCTGCGATGACAATACAATCCCACTACCTACCGGATTGGATAAACCAAGATGGATTGGATTGGCCCGCCGCAAGCACAGAAACAAATGACTTGATGGATTGGTTTGGATGGATTGGATTGGGTGGGATGAAAAACAACATGGGTTGGATACGGCAGGATGGGTTGGGCTGGACAAAATGGATTGGATATGATAAGATGGGTTGGATTGGCCGCCGCTGGCGCCGACAAAAATGAATTGATTGGATTGGGTTGGATGGATTGGCTTGGATGGGATAAGATGCGGTGGATATGATAAGGCGGGTTGGATTGGAAGAAGTGGATTGGACAAGATAGGGTCGATTGGACTGGCCCGCCGCAGGCGCAGAAACAAACGAATTGATGGATTGGGTTGGGGGGTTGGATTGGGTGGGATAAACAAGGATCGGGCAAGATGGGTTGGATAAGAAAGGATGGATTTGATTGGACAAGATGGGATGGATAATATACTCTGGATTGGGCACGAAAGCCCGCCGCAGGCGCCGACAAAAATGAATTGATGGATTGGGTTGGGTGGGTTGGATGGGATGGGATAGGATGGATTGGATAAGATAAGATGGGTTGGATTGTAAGACGTGGACTGGGTAAGATATGATCGATTGGGTTGGCCCGCCGCAGGCGCTGAAACAAATGAATTAATGGAATGGGTTGGGTGAATTGGATTGGGTGGGATAAGATAAGATGGGACGATATGGTTCGATAAGGTAAAATGAATTGGATTGGGCCAGTTGGATTGGATGAGATAAGATAAGCTGGATTGGATAAGAAAGACCGCCGTAGGCGCCGAAAACAATTAAATTAACGACATGCGTTACCGCCGGGACGCCCGGGACACCCGGGACACCGCCCGGCCCAACACGGACACCTCCCGGCCACCGGCGGACGGGAAACGGACTCGGTCCGAGACACCCACGACACCGCCGGGCCCACGGAATTTCGCTCACCCGGGACACCCGGGACACCGCCTGGCCCAACCGGCCACCAGCGGACGGGCACCCAGACTTTCGCTCCTACTTCGGCCTAGCTGCAGGGGGATCACGCGCAGTTTCGCCTCGCCCGCAAACGCGACACGAACACGAAACCGAAACCGATTCCCCGGTGGGGGGTCTCCGTTTCACTGTGATCTCGCCCCCCGACCTCCGATTCAAGCCCAAAGATCCCCAAAGTAACGACAGTTACAGGATCTGGATGACCCGCTCGGATAAATACGAAGATCTGCGGGCCCCATAGGGAGGGGGGTCCCGCCAGAGACTTCTTCGCAGGCCCCATCAGGAGGGGGCTCCCGCCTGAGACTTCCCCACAATTCGCACACAAACGAAACTCCCGCCTGATACTTCCCCCATTTCCAGGACTCAGGAGCCCAAGCGACGACAGTTACAGGATTTGGACGACCCGCTCGAATTAGTAACATGATCTGCGGGTCCCATAGGGAGGGGGCTCCCACCTGAGATCTCCTCGCGTTTGACTCACAAACGACTCCCCCCTGATATTTCCTCAACTGTGGGTGGCGGGAGGGAGATACCGGCTCGCCAAGGATGGTATAGTTTCATATTTTGGACGGACGATGGGGCAGGATCACCCCTGGGCCTGGGTGTGGGGAGATTTTTTCTGAAAGAAATATGCGATGATGATGATATATATATATATATATGTATACATACGCATGTTGTGCAACATGTGTGGTACGATCTATGTTGCGTCATGTGTGGTGTGGGATGTATGTAGTCGATGTTACGTTGTGCGAGTGACGTAGCGAAATATACGATGGCCAATCTGTGCGGGGCATTCTACGTGGTGCAATTTATGTGGTGCCGTATCTAAGGTGCACTCTACGTGGTGCGATCGATGTGGTGCGACTTACGTGGTGCAACCTAGGTGTTGCAAAACATCTGGCGCGATCAATGCGAGGCAACCTATGAGACGCAATATATGTTGCGCAATTGATTTTCACAAACGGGTTGACACATTCCGCGCCCTTGCAAACATCCCACCAATCCCCCCGCAACTTGGTTTGCTAAACCATGCGGCGGCGACTGCCATGAGTGCTTGGCGTTGGCTGGTGCATCTCTGTGGCTGCGCTAGCCCGCGCACGTTCGCGAGCACAGCGGCCAGTTAGATTGGCACGACCAACGCGGCCGCGGTGGCGCTGACCACTGGGCAGTTTCCAGCGGGCACTTCAATGCGAAACGGTGACTTGGGCGGGCGTGGTATGATGGGGACGCCGGCAACGGTAGACACGATTACGAGCGTAGCGATGCTGGTGACGATGGTGGCGATGACGACGGCACGGCCAATGACGGCGCCGATGCTGATCACGCCCGCCAGTAACGATGACGATGTCCTCGCGTCAACGACGAAGGTTTTTGAAAGAGTTCGTCATGCGCGCGCGGCCGACGCGCGCGGGCGGCCCGCGTGGGTACTTTACACAGATCGTGCCCCGCCCCACTACGCGCGCAGAGCGTTCGAGTGAGTTCGACCTGCGGCGCGAGAGACCAGTTTGGCAGAATGAAAATGTTGAGCGACCGATGGTTTGCTTACGAACCCACAAGACCACGAACGCAGGCTTGTTTGAAAACGGATGCTGCAAAACCATGTGCTTTATATGTGTTCAGGACACTCGTTTTTGACATGCTTGCGGAACCTGAGACTTTTGAAGGATGTCGGCATGCGCGCGCGACGACGCGCGCGTGTGCACGTCGTCCCGTTTGTTGCAAAGGGTTCCTTGCGACAGCACGCGAACAAGGGCGTTCGAGCGAGTTCGACACGCGCACGCGAAAGGTCGTTTTGTCAGCATGGTATGGACATGCTGAAACACCCATGGTTTTCTTAAGCATTCGCAAGAGCGCGGGCGCTGGCTTTTTTTGAAAACCATTGTTGCGAAAGCATGTGTGCTTTACATGCTGCCGCGACTCTCGATTGCAATCCGTACGAATCCATCGCTGTTTGAAAGAAGTCGGCATGCGCGCGCGACGACGCGCGCGTGCACGTCGTCCCATTCTTTGCAAGGAGGATGAGGGGGGGGAGGGGCGAACTCTGGCCTTGCTGGGATGGTATGAATTCACCGGGAAAATGAACAAGGAGGCAGAATCATATGCAAATTGCGATGCGCGGGGCCGGCTTGGTAAGCCCGGGGGGGGCGATGGGAGTGGAATCGAGCTTCTTTAAGAAAGGAAAACATCTGCGCTGCGAGGCGGCGACGGGGCGGCGACAACAGCGACGGAGCCGCCAGACCGACAGTCAAGCCCAAACGACGCGCGGCGACGAGGCGGCAACGGCGACCACGGAGCCGCCAGACCGACATTCAGGGCAAGTTCCGAAGAGCAGAAAGTAAGAACCCCGAAGTGCAAGCACTGTTTGGGGAATAGAGGGAGAGGGAGCAAGAGAGAAAGAGCGAGAGAAAAGAGAGAGAGCGAGACACAACGGAGAGAGAGAGAGAGAGGCAAGGGGAAAGAGAGGGAGAGAGGGATAGAGAGAAAGAGCGAGATGAGAAAGGACAGGAATCAACAAAACAAGCTCGACAGACATACAGACCGACAGAGACGCAAACAGACAGACAGAGAGATAACGAGACTGAGAAAGACAGACAGAGAGAGAGAGAGAGAGAGACAGAGAGAGAGAGAGAGACACATACACACACGCTCGAACACACACACACACACTTAAACACACACACACACACGCACAGAGGGGGGAGCTCACTGGGGTCCTCTGCCCTGGGTCGGCGGCACCCGCGCGATGCTCTTGCTCCTGCTGCGAGGGCGGCCGCCCCCGCCGCCAGCGCCGCGGCGGGCGCTGCGCGAGGTCTCCGTCCTCGGGCGCGCGCGCGCGGCGCGGCGGCAGCGGCGGTGGCGAAGACGGATGCGGCTGGGAGGGGAAGCTCGGACGACGCCGATGACGACCACGACGACGACGACGACGACGTCGAGGAGGAGGACGAGGACGCAACGATGACAATGGAGGGCGGGGGAGGGATGTAAGGGGGACGGCTAGGGGGGCGATGAGGGCGACAGGCAGGAAGCAGGAGCAGAGAGGAAGAACGAGCGGGGCCGAGAAGAGGAGAGAGCAGAAGGGAGGAGGAGAAAGGAGATGAGGACGAGGAGAGAAGGCGGCGAGAGACGAGAGAGGGAGAGAGAATGAAGGGAGGGGTTTGAGTAAGCGCGGAAAGGCTTCACATGGTCGATCGTGGATCCCATGGGAAGGTCGAACTCACCCTCAAGAAGGGCCCGCTTGAAAAAAGGCATTAAGCGTCTTGGAGCCCTCTTGGAGTCAAGGCCGACGTCGTGTGGTTTCACAGCGGGGACTCCCAGAGGTCCAGACGCCTTCCCCGTGACCCAGCCTTGCATCCCGAGCCTTGACTTTCTCTGACGGCCCCGGGGACCGGTGCGGGACCCCAGAGGCCGAACACGTCCCCGAAAGCCCCCGTCCTGCAACTCCGCCTCGACGAGAGGAGATATGGGTCCTCCATGGTCCTCCTCCTCCTCCTCCTCCTCCTCCTCCTCCTCGGCCTCCTCCTCCTCCTCCTCCTCCTCCTCCTCCTCTCCCCCTCGTCTCTTCCTCGCCATCGTTCTCCTCACCCTCCTCCTCCTGCCCGTTCTTCTCCACCTCCTTCCTCCTCCGCCTCCTCCTCCTCCACCATCCTCCTCATCATCATATTTTCTCAACCTCCTCCTCCTCCTCCGCCTCCTCCTCCCCCTCCTCCCCATCCTCCTTACCATCACCATAATCATCAGAATCAGCAGCCGCATCATCATCATCATCATCATCATCATCATCATCATCATCATCATCATCAGCAGCAGCAGCATCATCATCATCACCACCACAATCACCATCATCATCACCATCATCATCATCACCACCATCGTCGTCACCATCATCAGCATCACCATCGTCAGCATAATCATCAGCATAAGCATCATCATCCTCAGCAGCATCATCATCGTCAGAATCATCATCAGCGCCCGAATCAACATCATCACCACAACCACTATCTTCAGCATCATGCTCATCATCATCATCCTCAGCAGCAGCATCACCATCATCGCCCTCATCATCGCCAGCATCAACATCATCATCAACATCATCGTCATCATCAGGATCAGCGGCATCCACATCGTCAATGTCATCATCGTCGCTATCATCATCAGCATCAGTATCATCACCAACATCAGCGTCAGCATCATCAGCATCATCAACATCATCAGCGTTATCGTCGCCAACAGCATCATCAGCATCCTCATCATCACCGTCAGCATCGTCATCAGCATCATCATCATGTCATCATCATCATCATCATCATCATCATCATCATCAGTAGCATCACCAGCAGCATCATCATTAGCAGCATTAGCAGCATCATCAGCACAAGCATCAGCATCAGCATCAGCATCAGCATCAGTATCAGCATCATCATCATCAGCATCTTCATCAGCATCAGCATCATCAGCGTCAACATAAGCATCAGCATCATAATCAGCATCCTCATCCTCATCCTGATCCTCATCCGTATCACCATCACCATCGCGATCATCAACATCGGGTCACCCCTGGCAACGGGGTGGGCGGCTTCTGGCGCAAGCTGGGGGCCGCGGGCGGGCGCGCCAGCGCCTTGCCACCCAACGCCGCTCTGGACGGCCATGGCTGCGGGTCCAAGCCAGACCGCAACGTCTACAAAACTACTTTGCGGTAAGTGGCATCCAGAAACGGGGCCCTTGCGCTCCACAGAGCACGAGAGCGGGAAGTGAGTGCCGAGCTCACGGTCCGCAGCGGTCCCTGGGCCCTAGGACCACCCTTATGGCATCACACTTGATTGCTGGCCTGCGTCTGGGCATGATTGCTGGCCTCCGCTTAAACCGGAGGTCTAGGCATGATTGCTGGCACTGGGCCTGGGCGTGATGGTCAATGTTGCTGTTTGGGCTCTGCGGGTTCGGTGGCTTATGCGGCGAGGTTTTCGTTCTCTTTTCTCGGAGTATGCACTCCACCACGCACTCAACGACTCAGAAGTTGAGTTGGGTCAACCAAACTCCTAAATGCATCCTGGCGCGTGCCGCTACCGCGCAGGCCTTTGAATTAGGGTGCCCGTGACCCTTCCCGGATTTCCTCCACCAGTTCATGCAACGTGGTGTTCGTAGGCACGCTCTCCGTCGCCAACAAAAGCTCCTTGGGCTTTTCATTGCTGGCGCTGTTTCGACGGAGACAATGCGGCAGACGGGACGGCCCTGCTCACGCTGTGGGGCGCCGTGGCCAAGTTTTCAGACAGTCATTCTCGGTTTGCACCGAGTACCACATCCCACGCTTCAACATTGTACGACGACGGAGCCTACCCGCTAATTCTTGGATTTCGGATCCACGAGTAACTGCAAAGTCCGGTTGGGTCACATTCGACATCTCGCAGAACCAACGTCAACGTTATGAGATGATGGCTGCAGCTTGCGAGGTGGGAGTCGGTTCTTCAGGCAGAACTTCTACCAAGTGCTCAACGTTGTTGTTGATTTTCTTTTGTGGGGGGAAAGTCCTCGTTACGGCTACTCCACTCACCATCATCATCACCATCATCAACATCATCACAATCATGTTCATCGGCATCATCAGCATTAGCATCATCATCCTGAGCGGCACTATCGTCATCAGCAGCAGCATCATCCTCATTATCAGCATCATCATACTCATCAGCACCATCATCATTATCATCATCGTCGTCATCATCATCATCAGCATTATAAGCATCATCATGAGCATCGCCATCGTCGTCATCATCATCAACATCAGCATCATTATCATCATACTCATCAACATCAGCATCGACATCAGCATCAGCATCCGCATGAACAGTCGCATCAGCCTCATCACCATCAGCATCATCATCATCATCATCATCATCATCATCATCCCCAGCATCGTCATCGTCATTATCATCAGCATCATCATAACCAGCAGCATCATCATCGTCATCGTGGTCATCATCATGATCACAATGATCAGCATCATCAGCATCAGCAGCATCGGCATCATCAGCATTCGTATCGTCATCAGCATCATCAGCATCATAGTCATTGCCATGATCAGCATCATCATCATCATCATCGTCATTATCATCATCAGCATCATCATCATCATCATCATCATCATCACTAACACCATCATAATCACCAGCATCAGCATCCGCATGAGCATTCGCATCAGCCTCATCACAATCATCAGCAGCATCATCATTGACATCATCAGCATCACCATCACCGTCACCATAATAATCTTAGTAATACTCATCATCAGCATCATCATCAGCATCATCATCGTGAGCAGCGTCATCATCATGGACATCATCACCATCATCATCAACATATTCGTCATCACCAGTATCAGCGGCATCAGCTGCAATCATCGTGAACACCATCATCATCACCATCACCATCAGCTTCGTCAATGCGATCGCCACAATCAACATCCTGATGATGATGGTGATGGTGATGCTGATGTTGATGCTGATGATGGTGATGATGATAATGATGACGATGATGAGGAGGAGGAGAAGGAGGAAGAGGATGAGGATGAGGAGGAGGAGGAGGAGGAGGAGGAGGAGGAGGACTTCCTCCTCCTCCTCCTCCGACGGGGTTGAGGTGCACATTGATTGCAAGTCCACCGTGTCTGTGGCTTCCCGCCTCCCGGGTTCGTCCAATGAGAACCAGCTGAGGTGTCACTGGTAGTCCGAGGTGGCGGAGGCCCTGGAGGGGGTCAGGTTTGTGAAGGTCGATGCGCACCAGTCCCAGAGAGCTGTACAAAGACGTCTGACCACCCATCATCAGCTTTGTGGCTGTAGGCAACAGGCATTAGCTAAGTTAGGGGCTGAGCCCATCCGAGCCCCCCAAGCCGCGTGGAGGGGTGCGCTCCATTGGCGAGGGAGGCTGCCCGATTCGCGACCTCCCAGAAAGTGATGATCAATGGCGGGCAATGGCCCGACCATGATGGGTTGGAATGGCTAACCACCGTCCCCTTGAAGGCCTTCCCTGGGCTTCCGCTGGGGCCCTCTGACCCCTCTGGGGAGATCCCCGAGGCCCTCCTGCTCCCTCCCTCTTCCCCTCCTCTGCCGCCTCCTCTTCGTTCTTCTCCTCCTCCTCCCCCTCCTCCTCCTCCTCCTCCTCCTCCTCATCCTCCTCGTCCTCCTCGCCCTCGTCCTCGTCCTCCTCCTCCTCCTCCGCCTCCTCCTCCTCCTCCTCGTCCTCGTCCTCGTCCTCGTTCTCGTCCTCCTCCTCCTCCTCCGCCTCCTCCTCATCCTCCTCCTTTTCAAGCAGCAGCAGCAGCAACAGCACCGGCGCGGGGAGGACGCAACAAGACAGAGACCGCGGTCCGGCGACCGCCCGCCTCCCGCTGGCGGCTCCAGCTGCGGGGCGCGGCGTCTCTGAGGCCCCCCACCAGGATCGAATATGCTGCACTCCTCGTCCTCGTTCTCGTGCTCTTCCTCCTCCTCCTTCTCCTCCTCCTCCACCTCCTCCTCCTGCTCTTCCTCATGCTCCTCCTCCTCCTCCTCCTCCGCCTCCTCCTTCTGCTCGTGGTCGTGCTCGTGCTCCTGCTCCTGCTCCTGCTCCCGCTCCTGCTGCTGCTGCTGCTGCTCCTCCTCCTCCTGGGTGGCTTGGCATCGCGGCCCCGCAGCCGTTGCCCTTCGGCTTGCGTCCGCCGTGCCATAGCCCCCATCGCCGCGGTCGACGCGACGGCCCTCGCGAGGGCCAAGTCACCGCCGTGGCATCGTCGGCTTCGACGAAAGCGTGCGGGAGCTCGGGCGCGTCTTCGGCTGGCTCGCGATCGCCTGCTGAGGTATCACCACAAAGGCAGCGCGGTGCCGCGAGCTCATATGCATGGAGCGCGCGGAGCAGCGGGCAATCGGACGCGTGGTGAAAGTGAAATACTGGGCACCAAGTGTCGGCACTGCGGCTGAGGCAAGAACGAGGCGTGGTGGCAGTGGCGCAAGCACTGCAAGCAGGAGCTGGTGCCCACGCTAGCTCCTCCTCGTCGGCCTCTTTCTGCTGACCGCCGTGACAAGTTGGCGTTGGCCAAAGCGCCGTGGCAGGTCGGCAATGGCATCAGCAGCCGGCAGCGCGATGGGTCGCGCGCGCGGTTCGCCCTTGGCAACGCGGAGGATCTGCCCTGCGGCAGCGACGCCGATCCCGAGGAGGCCAAGCTGGTGCAGCTCATCAGCCTGCTGCAGAGCAGCAACGACGAGGGCGGCATGCGCATGTACCAGGAGCAGCTCGACGCCCTGCGCAGGGCCAGGCAGCCCACAGTCATGTCCGTCGACGCCGCGATGGTGGCACGGGACGAGGCGGCTGTCGCCCTGGATCGCGCTGTGGCCATCGCCGACGAGCTGCAGGCCAAGCTTGACGTGGCAAAGAAGAACGTGGCTGCGCGATCGATCAGCTACGACATGGCCATGGAGGCGCACACGAAGGCTGCCCAGTCGCTGGCAAACCAGGTGGTGGGGCCGCCACAGGAGAAGGATAAGGACGGCGGCAAGATGGGGCCCCTCTCCATCGCACACCTGCTCGACGGGCACGACCTCGAACTCGACGACGACGGCCTCTTCGGACTGGGGGTGCCAGCCGACTGCGAGATCCAGGAGCCCGATCGCGAGGAGGCTGCCTAGAGGAAGGCCGAACTGCAATTCTGTAAATTCAAGAAGATGCCGGGCAGCGCTCCGGAAGTTCGCATCGGAGGCGCGGGGGCTGGAGAAGCAGCAGAAGGCGCTCAAGGACCGCCTGGTCGCCGAGGAGAGGAGGACCACGGACGCTGACAATGGCGAGACAAAGGTGCCTCAGAAGGCTTCTGCGGCAGCGGCTCCACCTCTTCCAAAGCCAGCGTCGCCTGCGACCAGCGCGACGGATGCAGGCAGCAGCGGCGCCCCCCTCAGCGGGCCCAGTGGCGGCGCAGCTCAGGCACCCGGAGACGAAGCTGCCGATGGCGTGCTGGCGGCTGCGCGGGCGAGGTTGGCGAAGGGCGGCGGCCGCGGCAGCGCTGGGTCTCGCGGTCCAGCAGACGCAGGACAGCAAGGGCTTCAACGCCACACAGCCTCATAAACACGTACGTCAGCAATGGCGGGTTACTCCGTCGAGTGCCAGAGCGGCGTGCGAACGGAACAGCTACCTCAACGGGCCACTTGAAGGTGACGGCGGCCGCTCGATTTTGCAACACGTAACGCCTCGATGGCTAGGGGGCCACCCACTACCAGACGGCCACTGTGCTGACGCACTGTGGGATGCACGATCGGCCTCGGCTTCCCCCCGTGACTGGGCGATGGGCCTTGGCATCGCCGACCACCGCAGGGGCGCGTGGGTGGACGGCGACCTGTCGCAGAGTCAGCTCTTCGACATCGACAGCAGGGCAGGAGATGATGAACCCCCTGCCGCATGCATATCCCCGAGCCCAGGCTGCACCAGCCCGATCGAGCTCCCCCACCGCGGAGCCTGGTCGCACGACCAGCCAACACCAACATCAGGAGCGGCCCGCCCTAAGGCCGCGGGAGGTGGGGCTGGCGGTGTCCTCGGGAACCTGACCGAGGACCTCCCCTCCAGAACGTGCCGTAAGTAGCATGGGCGCGCCTCCGCCAGCGGGGGGCCTCCGGGGGACAGGACGCAGCGCGACGCGAACGGCAAGGCCCACTGCGCAGCAGACACGCGGCAGGACGACGACGACCCAGCAGACGACGACAACCTCATGGCGGAGGGCTACGACGAAGCACTACTTTACAACGAAGTGCTGGACATGGGGCCCGACTTCGAGCCTTGGAGGGACATGGGTCCTGACGCACAATGGGCGCTTGATCACGCGCGCGAGCTAAGTATGGCACTGCGTGGCATCATCAGCCACTGGCACCCGCACGCGCTGGACGAGGTTTAGGACGGCGTGAGCTGGGGGAGGCACTGCGTGCCGCGCGTGGCCAACCACCTCGCCCGCGCGGACATGGGGCAGCGTGTGATCGAGAGAACCACGCGTGACAGGAACGCTCGCTACCGCATTGCAGCCGTCGACCTGGCCACCGACATCTGCGACAGAGCTTTTCTCAGAGCTCGGCAGCGCGCGGCGCCAATGCGCCGACCTGCTCAGTTGGCCGACCAGGTAGCCATGCGCGAAAATGCCATGGGCCGCGAGCAGGATCCTCGACTCGGGCGGGACCTCCGCAGCCTCAGGCGCGCTGGGCGACGACGCGGTCGGCGGGAAGGTCGACTAGCAGAACGTGGACCTGACCCTAAGAGTGGGGACAGCGAAGGAAGCACCAGTGGCAACTCTTCGTGGACAACGAGCTCGGTATCGGCTACTACGGTGACCAGTTGGACTATGACGAAGTGCAGTAGTACCCAGTTCACCAGGGCATGCAAGATGCGCAGCAGATGTCGACGCGGGCTTCGAGCGGGCGCGGGCAACGGCCACGTCTTTCAGTCAAGGACACGCGGCATATCCTCAGGAGGCGCGGCAGGCCTCGGACAGCGCAGTAGTCATGGAGGCGTGGCAGGCCTCGGATGCCAGACTGCGGCGCCACCTTCGTGGGGCATCGCGAGCACCTGAAAGTTTCGGTCAGCAGGAGGCGCGGCAGGCTTCGGGGCGTGGCGTAGTGTAGAGTCATGGGGACTACCATCACAGTGCACACGTTTCGGAGCTGACGGCGGAGTGGGACTGGGACGGCGACGAGCACGGCGTAGTGGAGAAGCGCGGGGACTTTCATCACAGTGCACGTCTCGGAGCTGGCCCTGGACTGCGACGATGCCAACCTGGATGCGCATTACAGGCGGAGGCTCGGCGGCGACGTCGACGACGACCTGCTCGGCGGCCTGGGCGTCAGAACGCTAAGTCCTGAGGAAGCCCCCACGCGAGCGAACACCGCGGGCTCGACGCCGCCACGCGCAGCTGGACAAAGTCCTGAGGGAGCCACCACGCGAGGGAACACCTTGGGCTCACAGTCGCCACGTAGGACGCAGCTCGAACGCGACGCCACCCTGAGAATGACGGGCGCCACTTCGAAGTCCAGCGGGACCTGCTCGGCCACGACCACGTCCACCGAAGAGTGCAGAAGGTGGCCTCAGGCGACTGCATCAGGCTACCGCGACATGGACAAGATCACTCGAGCGAGGCGTGGCAGGCCTCAGATGAGAAACGCAGTCAGGAGGCGCGACAGACCTCAGACCGCGACAACATGGAAGCCGACACCAAGCCCGAGGCGCAACCGCGTCATGGACGGCATAGGCATCGTGGCAAGGCGTGCAAAACCATGACGGTCAACGCATCGGGGTGGGGATCGCCCCTCACGTAACTGGGGGATGAGCGCACCCCTGAGGACGCGATGGCAGCGCTGATCCAGGAGCACCACCTCGACGAGTTCAGGATCCAGTCGGCAATGAAGGCGGCGAGGGCGCAGGGCTGGAAGGCCGACCTGTACCCTGCTCGGCGCACGGGCAACGGTGACGGCACCACGGGTGGCGTCGGGCTGCTGACACGACCGCACGTGGCGTTTCGAAGGTTGCGATTCGAGCATGACGGCATCCACGCAACAGGCTCGGCTCGGCAGGGCTTCTGGACCACCCACTTGGGCCCCAAGGAAGGCCTGGTCCTCTCCTCGCTGCACCTGCACACCAGTAAGGACCTCGGGGACACCAACCTGGATATCTTGTACCAGATCGGCAACGTCCTCCACACAGCAGGGCGCCCGTTCGCACTGGGTGGGGGACTGGCAGAACCTCCCAGAGTCTCTCAAAAGCACGCGATGGCCCGTGTCAGTGAAAGGCACTGCGTTGGCTCCTGACTAAGCCACATGCTACGCGGCACCGGGTGCGAGGGTAATTGACTATTTCTGTGTCAAGCACGAACTACGGGGCTGCCGTACACACACCTACGACGGGTTGCCGGTGGCGCCACACAAGGGAGTCATCCTCGAGCTAGACACACAGCAAAATCCCCTCATGGCGCCGAAAGCTCACATGGCAAAAGTATTCCCGTCAGGCCAGCTGATCGGACCGCAGCCCCCCGCCCCGTGCTGGCAGGATGTCCAGGCGACTGCGGAGGCGGCTACCTCGAAGAAGGAGCTGAACGACTCCTTCGGCCAGTGGCTGGGGAAGTACGAGGACGAGCTCGCCCAGCGCTTCGGAGTGGACCAGCCTGGGCGACGCCGCGGGCGCGCTGCCAGCGTGCGGATCGCCAGCTCCGCCCTCCTCGTGTCCTGCCGCAGTCAGACGAAGGGGCGGGGGGCATCGGACCCATAGGAGGGTCGCTGGCCACGGCTCGCCCAACGCCTGCGGGAGTGGAGATGGAGACGGGATGCAGTTAACAGGGGCGGCTCGATTTCGGGACGACATCGGCTGCGTGGGCTACAGTTGCGCCTCATGAAGTTCACGCTGCCAC